GTTGAACAAGTATATAAAATAAAAATCATATTGGTAATATAACTATGATTTAAAAATGTAATTACCAGCTTATGGCCTGGCATGTTAATCTAATCAGACCCAGCTATTGATTAACAGTTGTTTGTACATGTTGCTGTTACACTAATATAAAATATAGCGGCCCACCTCTCCTGGGAAGCTTCCCAGCAAGTGGTGATCCAGGAGACTAGCATTATGGGCTTCTTCAGACTGGCAGCCACCAAGTACTTCTTGCTGCCAACCTCCCCAGCCACCAGGTGAGTGACGGCACTTGTGAAGTCCCTCAGCACCCGGCCTCCCATCAGCCCTATCAGTCTGTGCATTTCCTCCTGGATGCACAATACAATCGGCAGCACATGGTTTGTGCATTCAATATCTGAAATTCACCTAAGCATCTATAAAATCTTTTCAACTGTTAAAATACCAAATATGCCACTGCTCTATTCTTTGGATCTTCGGTAAAGTCATATAGATAGGTTAAAAGAAAATAACAAAAAACTACGACGTTTCGATCGCAACACAAGTGATCGCAGGGATCTTACATTAACATGCTAATGTCTCACATTATCATAGCCACCTTAGCGTGCTCACCGTGGAGGCTGCTCACAGATCTTAGATTAACATGCACATTTTTACCTGGCAGCCCTTTAATTGGTGGAAAACCCACCACCGTCGTGGTCGCTGCCCACCAATTACATTAACATTAGCTGTCCTGCCCATGCTGCTGACATTTGGGCTACGCACATTTCCAAACAGTTTACCTTTAGAAGCTAACCCCCTTTCCTGATGACGACCGCTTGTGTTGCAATCGAAATGTCGTATTTTTTTGTTATTTTCTTTGAACCTATCTACGTGACTCTTTACCTAAAGACCCAAAGAATATGAATTCCTGCAGTCACGAAAGCTTATGTTGCTTTAATCATCACCGGCACCCTCCTCCCATTTCGTGCTGCAAGAACACTTCATTGCCATGGGACTGTAGAGGAGTAATCCATTCCACTTGATTTAATTATCCGCAATTGTATATCCATTTGTGAAAGAAGGCATCTTTACATAAACATCCCTCATGTTTCTGCGATGCAATTAACCCATAACACTCCTTCAGATGGATGGACCTTTTTGCTCCACCCACACTATTTAGTCCTTGCGATTTAATAAAAAATATAAAAAAGCATTTCCAAAAATCTTCCTCGAACATAACTATTCCCCTTAAATATGTCTTTGTGAATTGTAATATCTCACACATATATATACACACACACATAGATATATGGATATGACGTTTGTCAACGCTAATACTAGTGTGCAAGAACGTGACGTACACGGACATCCTTGTCAATGTTGGTGCAGGACAGTACTGCGTCTGCAAGAGCCATATTATACACAGGGTGCTCAGCCTTTGGAACGCAGCGCTCCCTGTCCAGGCAGAACAGCACCACTTGTGGCCCCACCACTCGGCACCCCATCTTTGAGTAGCAGTCAGTGGGAATGGAAATGGTTGAGAGTTGTGGTGGAAGAAGGGACAAATGGGGGGGGGAGGCACACATTCAAATTGTTTATATCAATTCTCAAATAAACAATACATTTACATATTAACCTGCCAGTAATGTAATTATTCATCACTGTAAATCAATTATACTCTCCGTACACCTAAGAATATATTATTGTAAATAATATGTTCATACAACTACTGATTGCATAGATTAATGCAACTACGAGTTTTTTTTTAATTTATTTCTTTAGAACTGCTTTTTGTGTTTAGTTTCTTGTCCTGCCCTCGCACCTCCAATTAGCAGTTGGCTACGTACGGTGCGCAAAAAGTTGAACATACATACATATAACTATGGATTGTACAAGCACCACAATCACAGACAACAAACATTTGTTTATTGAATTATGGCCACAAATTGAACAGGTGAATTGTTTCTGTCTAGTATCCATGTATTGCCCTCATCCTTTACTTGAATGCTTCCCCGTACTCTGTTCGGGAAACAGTGAGGTGTTTGATGGACAGTGTTGGGTGGGATCGGTGAAGCTGCTTACTTTGACAAGGTGATCAAAGGCGACTCCATGGAAGGGGTCGCACACATAGAGTGACCTGTCAATCTCCTTCAATGTCAGCACCTTCGCCACATCCACTCGCTGCAATAACGACTCCGACTGAATTTTGCAGATTTTCTATTAAGTAGAACAGGCGCTCATTAAAATAAACCTGGATGCTGACAGTAAAAACTGCAAGTGAAATAGCGATGAACATGTTGACTGTGTATTATTGCGACCTTACCTCATAAGCTTCTTTGAAATATTTTGATTCATTTTCATTGTCTTCAACAAACTTTACAAATAGCTTCTCAGCACTGCGTTTTGTCATCCTCCCTCATCAAGTCAAATCTTAATACAAGGAAAAATAAGGATACAATATTCATGCAAAGGTTTACATTATTTTCTATCAAATAACAAAAAAACATTTCATATATTTAATTAACCCCCCATTCAGCATTCTAGTACAAGAATAACAATTAGGTAATTAACAATTATTGATTGCCCTACCTCATCCCCAGTCCAGAGATTGACCTTTATCAAGGAACAACGCCTTGCAATAAAAATTATTGGTATCGTTTCATGAGTAGTAACAATTTAAAAACAGACATCTTAACATCTAGGCTGATATGGCTCAAAACAGTTGGTTGGTAATACGAAGCATAACTGCTGCTGCCGTGGAGCAGCATTTAAATCCTATACTGCATAAACACAGTAAAATCCCGTATATAAGGCCCTGACCCATCAACTAAGAAGCCGTGGCCAGCACAAATTGCAGTCCCACAAAGACGATGACACAACAATCATTGATTAATGTCCTTTATGGACCCAGGGAAAGCTCGATTCTTGGTAATTTTTCAGAAGGGTATTGCCACTTTTTATATTTGGCCAAATGCTAAAATATATCAGTGTCGCGAGAAATTCAGGATGAAAACCCACCACACATCGGATGCGGTAACACTAGAAGCACTACAGATAGATTCACGAATCCAGTGGTATGCTTCCACATACTGGCCACCTCCAGTCCATGAGACATAAATAATAACACAAATCGTGCTGACGCAAACATCACTCTTGTGTCTCCTGTAATCAACGTGAAATGATGGGTAATGTCATGTCGACCGTCGGTCGTGATACACTTGCGTTAAACTCCACGTTACCGTGACGGGGCTCAGCACATCCCCTCAAATTAAAAGAGCGCAGTGTGATGCGTAAATCGGTGAAGTAGAACTGCGGTCGCGTAGTCGACTTCGTTTTCAAAGAGAGCCCCTTCTACTACATCTGACCAGAGTCGGGTCCATTCGACGTTACCGTGCCGGGAGCAGGGTATTCCCCGCGGCCGAATGCTGCCGTGCGTGACGTGACGCAGATTTGTTGTTGTTGTAATAGTTTAACTATTGTTTCGGATGATTGTGTTGATATCGCTGATGATGATGATAATAATGTTGATGTTGACTTTGCTCTCGGCTGCGTAGAGTTCCCAAGCGCCGCTCTCGCTTTGGCGCCAAATCTATGGGCCCGAGGTTGTTGGCGAGAATCGATTCGGTCGGTACAATCGATTAATTGGTATCCGGATCCTTCACAAAAAAAATGTTCGCGTACGATAAAACTAATACAGTACTTCGCAATCATGCCAATGCTACGCTTGTCTGCAGCTGTTCTGTGAGAAAGAAACAAAGACAAGCGCAGACAGTGCAGACGAATCGATTCTTGTCGCGGCGTTGACGTTTAAGCATCGTTCCTCGGGGTTCCCAGAGAGAGAGAGAGACGTCGATCTTAACGCTGACACGCGACGGGGATCCGTGCGCTTAAAATAAAATCCAAAAATCCTGCGTGAAAGTTGTAAACGCACGATACGTTGAGGTAGAATCAATCATTTATTTTAATCGCGATACAGAATCGAAACCGACGGTCTCTTTACGGCTCCTTTGTTATGTGGCGCACGTTTAATTTTTAATGTCACGATCCGTGAGCGGAGGCTGCAAAGGTGCAAAAACAATAGCCAAGCGGTCAGCCACAAACAGCACTAATGAAGAGGTTGCATGCAATAAGTTGCGGGCGTCGTGCTCGTCCGTGGCCGCTGCTTACCTTGCAGTAGCCACTTCCTGTGCACAACATGACTGGCGTGTATTTAAGTTTAAACTTCTAATATATATATTTTTTGAAAGTATTTTTAATTAATACAATTTAAGGCGTCGGGATAATTAACAATTAAATTCGCTCGCAAGTCACGTGACTCCTTTCTGGAAGTCGCGAACCACGCGGTCCTGACGTCGTCACCCTCCACGGCCGACGTCATCACGCTCGGCGAGGACGTGCGTCGTGACGTCAGCACGCACGCGCGATGTTGCGTCGTGACATCACGCGCGCGCTCGGCGAGGACGTGCGTCGTGACGTCAGCACGCACACGCGATGTTGCGTCGTGACATCACGCGCGCGCTCGGCGAGGACGTGCGTCGTGACGTCAGCACGCACGCGCGATGTTGCGTCGTGACATCACGCGCGCGCTCGGCGAGGGCGTGCGTCGTGACGTCAGCACGCACGCGCGATGTTGCGTCGTGACATCACGCGCGCGCTCGGCGAGGACGTGCGTCGTGACGTCAGCACGCACGCGCGATGTTGCGTCGTGACATCACGCGCGCGCTCGGCGAGGGCGTGCGTCGTGACGTCAGCACGCACGCGCGATGTTGCGTCGTGACATCACGCGCGCGCTCGGCGAGGACGTGCGTCGTGACGTCAGCACGCACGCGCGATGTTGCGTCGTGACATCACGCGCGCGCTCGGCGAGGGCGTGCGTCGTGACGTCAGCACGCACGCGTGAGGTCGGCCTCTTCCTTGGCGATTCCACCCGGCCCCCCCCCCGGGAACTACGTCACGACGTCAACGCGATTGCGTCACGCGTAGATTCTCTTTCGTACGGCACAAGGGGAGTTCTCGCGCTCGTGACGTCATCACGCACGGTGACGTCAGACCGTTCGCCCGTGAATGAATGAGCGGCCCCGGCAGCGGAGAACAAAGGGCGAAGCGGTGAGCGGCGCGAAAACGTGGGGAGTTGTTTGTTTGTTTGTGTTGTTTGTCGTTGGGTTCGTTGTTGTTGTCGGTGCCGTCGTTATGTTCGTGATTGTTGTTGCGTCGGTGAGGAGAGAGAGGGCAGGGGGGGGGGTGAGGAAGAAGTTGTGTTCGCCCCGTGGTCTTGCCACCACCATCGTTCTGTGTGTTGTTGGAGACCCCCTCCCCCCCCCCCAGTCTGCGAACTTAATGTCCATTTCTTAAGTTGCAGCACGGCGCGGGTTTATTTCGCTTCTCAATGCGTCTCCAGAAGTCGCACAGAAAGAGTGAGTGCGCCTATTTATTTTGGAGAGAGAAACGGGGCAAATCGGAAGAACTTGAGCCTGGGCATGTCCGGGGCCAGGACATGCCAAGGTGTGGATGATGATGATATAGAAGTGATATGATCATAATTCCATACGGAGTACACACCGCACTCCACACACACACACACATTCACCAACCTCGCATTGACTAGCGTGGTGAGGTATGGTCAAACTATCTCTCGCCGCCCATAAAGCGTGGGGAGGCCCTCATCCAGCATTGTGGATTGATTGAAAAACAATGGTACTGTGCGCTTGCCTGTACCGTAGACACAGACACGTGTGTACCGTTATGCGAAGCAAGGCGTGGATGGCGAGGGTGTGTTTGTGGAGAGAGGTCAAGCACCTCCGGTCAAAAGGCCCTCTGATTCGCAGCTCATCTCTCATAGGTGTGCCCTCTTTCTCAAACGACAGGCCCCTCCACAGCCCTCGTTGTTTAGGGGGCTGTCGTCAGTCCGTAACTTCCCACTGTTCTCTCCTATTTTTCCCCGTTCCTTTTCATAGTTATTCATGTCCCCACAGTGGCCTCCAGATTATTTGATTTCATCTCAGGCACTTCTTATTACTGCTATGTCGTCCTGTGTCTATTTTTTTGCCTTATCTTGGTATCCACAGAGTTAATCTTGTTCATCTCTCCATCTCATCGTTTCATAATTGTTTATCTTCCGTTGACGTTTAAATGTATGCGGATTTGGGAAACAGTTTTCCGCATGTAAAGTTGGCTTACTCGGATAGCAAGTGGTGTCACCCTGGCCAGTGTTTTGGGACCCCACACCAATTCTTATCTCTCTCTAAATGGCCAATTATTATCCCTAAATTGGCAATTGTTGCGATGTTGGTTTTGTACCAATACATTCCAACCCTTTTGAATCCAACAATGGATGAAGGTCTTCCCACGCCATGCCGTTTATAGGGCTTTTGAACCATACTTGAATCTGGTCAGTGTGCGTTAGGTGGGGGAAGATAGGGACCCCATTTCTGATATCACTCGCCAATGATGTTATCTGTGGCCGCGAATCAAGACGGAGTTCATCGGGTTCTTAGTGCAGCTTTTCATTTTGGAATTTCAGTTTTTTAAAAGCACACCAACCTGCTCTCATCCAAATCTCGAATTCATCGTTTTCATTCCGGTCGGCCTCAATAACTTCACTATAGCGGCGTAAAAAACGTGTTTTTAATTAGTGTATATTCATTTCTTGTGGCATTTTTAACAGAAACATGTACATTGCCAAAGAAAATGTAGCAAAAGCTGAAATTGCACAAAGGACATGGAGAGGTGCATGCATGGAATTACACTGACAGAAAGAGTAACACATGGATCATCTAACATCTGCAAGTTTAACACGTAGGTTTTCGTAACATCGGCAAGTTTAACACGTAGGCTTTCGCGACATCTGCAAGTAAATTTGGCTAGAGGGGATGGCGTTCACTCGTCGACAAATAACATCAAGAGGGAGGTCAGTCCACCACGGAGATGGAGTGATTACATTGGTTCTTGTACAGGCGCACGATGGATAATTTCATCGTGAGACCATAAAATATCAACGGCTTGGGGAGGTTTTCATCCAGCAGTAGATAGAACATAGCTGATGATAAATGGTATAGCTAATTATTTTACTATTTAATATATGTACACACACGCATATGGTTTTAGTGGTCAGCCCTTAATGTTTACACTTTAGATGCTTAGCGTTTGTTTTACTTTGGCCCATAAATAAAAGACTGTGACATGTCTGCTGTGCTGACCTTATTTGTTGATGTTTTTCAGTGTACGACTACTGCCTCTGTCGTTGGTTTTCTTGTCTTTTTTTTAATCCAGATTCGTGGAAATTGAAAGAAGACGAAGATTAGTGCCTTTCATCGCAGAAAGGGGGATTCCACAATATGTCCAGTAAGCAGACTGTATAGCTGCTTCTCATTCTCATCCAAACCTCCCCTCAATTCATGGGGGTCACCTGCTCAGATTTTATTTTTCCATGTAAACCTCTAACAAAGTTGCTAATACAGTAAACTCCTCATTCGTGGTGATATTTGAGTGGGGGGGTGGCCACGGATGGCATAAATATGATTAAAAGCAATTTACCGCTATTATGGCTGCATGTTCTTACGCGAGGATTGATCCCTGATAACATGACCCACTTGTCTAGCCATGAATATACGCGGATAATATAAATTTGCCTTTCGATTCGTGTTCGTCTTCAACAGCATCGCCACCGTTATCAATAATCCACAGTGGGAGGCTGCAGATAAATGCAGATATCTGTAAGAATTTGGCACGCACATCTTCTTATCTGCCAACTAACCACGGCAGTGGAATTTTTTGTCTACTTTGATAAATTAAATTGGAGTCATTTGTCTCCCAATTACCAGTGGTGACTAATTTTCCTGTGAAACATCACGCAAAACAGGAGAAGCAATCTCTGTGCAGATAGATTCTGACCAAGGATAACAGGAGTTGTGGATGAGTCCACTGCATTATCTCTTCACCCCTTGCACAGAAATTCTGATGCATGAAATTGCATCGAAAATACAGACATTTAACTGGATACACTACAGTACTGTAATTCCATTTCCGATTAATATGTAACGGGCTCTGAATAAAGTTGCAGCAGACTTTGCCTCGGGTGGCCTCGGCACCTAAATAATAAACCTCTCAAATGTCAGCTGCGCCTGCCTTGACAGTTTTACATGAACACATTAAACTGTTTCGTGCCACTCAGTTGACTATACATTTAATGTGATACCAGATTACAATGATTTCTCCAACAATCCTATTTATAGCCCATCTACAGAAGATATTTATTTTTCCTGAATTTTTGGTTAAATCAGTTTTTATTATCTCATGTAAGAGCTTTTAGGAACAAACAGGAACTACAAGTAGGAACTTTGTTTTCTTACATCTAAAAAAATGCACTAATGAAGGTTCCGCCTGTTTGACGTAAAATTTGCTGTTGTTGCAAAAGTGGCACTATGTCTTCGTGTTCACACAGGGCGCATCCCGTATGCTTCCTCTCCTGCCCCGGGTGTCTCGACGCTATCGGTAAGCATAAATGTGCGCCCGATGCTGCCTTAGGAGCGCGCCAAAAGAACCACACCCTTGGTCAATCAGTTTGGCCAATTTCTCACACCTGCTGCGCCCATGTGTTTGGTTGAATGTAGAGCTGTGGCAATTTTGTCAATATTACCCTTTCCTTTTGAAATAATGGCTTTGTGTTGTTTTCCTGCAGCAAGCTGCGAGCACACCAGGATATGTGGGCATCAACATTTACAGCCACTTGGCTTATAACAACTACAAGCTGGGAGGAAATGCAGGAAGCAATGCAAGATCCATGGTATGCTTACAGCCTGCATGGGAAAGAGCCCTGCTTTTGTGCAAAAAGTTACAACTTAAAGCAAATTAATTCACATTTCTCACCAATTATGTGTTTTATAAGTGTTCTATAGTTGCTGCTTAGGCCATATACAGTTTAATGGATTGTGTGTTAACAAATGTTATTCTCTTGGGTTTTTTTTATCTCTTCAAGGCCAGCGGTATCAATGTCCCAAAAGCCCCAAAGGCTCCAGACAAGCCCCTCATGCCTTACATGCGGTACAGCAGAAAGGTTGGTAATCCTCTACAGTGACACAGCATAACTTTGCACACTTGATGTTTTGTCACAAAAAAATGTACATGCTGCAGATAACCTGAGCTTGTGCTGTGGGCACATGCAGAGTGCTGCGATGGCTCATGCTGTCACATTCATTCCTTCGTCGATTATTTTAGGTTTGGGATCAGGTTAAAGCAGCCAACCCTGACCTGAAGCTCTGGGAGATTGGGAAGATCATCGGCAGCATGTGGCGGGACTTAAGTGAGGAGGACAAGCAGGAATATCTCAATGACTACGAAGCGGAAAAGGTAAACAAATATGCCTCTCTTCTCCTGGCTGGACACAGCTTAGTGATGCATCTCAGTGATTCCCATAAAGAGCCCAGTCTCTTTAGGTCCAATGGGATAGCATGATTGATAAATAATAAATCCAGTGGGACCGCGTTGTATTATCAAGAATGTTCAATTGCGTATGACAGTGAAATATGTGAAACATGCTATTGTAACAGTTGACTAATTCACTGTTCTGGCAGAGTTCTCTGACATGGCATTGACGATAACAATAATACTTTATTTATAACCAGGTTAGAGAGCCGCCTGATGAAGTGTGTTTTGCTGTTTTCAGATCGAGTATAATGACTTGATGAAGGCGTACCACACCTCGCCAACATACCTGGCCTACATCAACGCGAAGACGCGTGCGGAAGCGGCACAGGAGGAGGAAAGTCGACAGAGGCAGCGTATGGAGAAGGTGGACCCATATGTCAGCATCCAGCCTGCCGATGACCCAGATGGTACATGCCTTGCTGTGAATCCAGACCTTTCCCTGATCCTAACGTTAGTCATGGTCCTGAAAACTGAGTCAGCATATAGTCACCTACCCTGTAGTACACCCCCACTTTAAACCTATTCATAAATGTCAACTCAAAACAATAGTCTTGGTTGTGATCCTAGATCATGTCACCTGAGGTTTGGATGGCTGAGAACACCAACACACAATTTTGCTATGCAGTGCTAGAGGAATAATAGTTAAATATTTTAAGGTGGAGCAGTAATTCCTCCACCACTGCAACCACAATCCCATGCTGACTAATGTGGTAAGGCTTGTTCAAACAATCCCACACTCAAATGGTGTGGTGAGACCTCCATCCAGCAGTGGATTGGCAAAAGGCTGGACGTCTTATTTGTATTGTTATTTTCTCATGAAGTGACATGTATCACCAGTGTCCGATTTGTCTTCGCAGATCACGATGACGGATCCTCCTTAAAGCACCTCGGGGCTTCGCGCTTCCAGCGGAACCACCGCCTCATCAATGAGATCCTCAGCGAGGTCGTGGTCCCAGATGTGCGCGTGGTGGTGACCACCGGACGGATGCAGGTTCTCAAGCGCCAGGTGGACTCGCTCACCGTGCACCAGGTGAGGCCCCTCCCAACAGCAGCGTCGCTTATTCGCTTGCGGGCCTTGATTTTATCCAGCCCTTGAGCACAATGAGCGCGGGCTGTTTTCCGCAATTCCTCCGAATTATACCCACTGGGAATCTCCCTCATGGCCCGTGAGGGTCATGTGGAAGCAAATGTGACGTCACTCCTAAAAATGTGGCGCTGCGTTCTCAAATATGATGCTGCGTCTGAGAACATGCCGTGACGTTCATCAATATTGACAATCCTAGGAGATTATCAATATTGGCCACGGGCTCGAAAATGGTTACACATGGCTGCTCTATGCATTGGGTCAAATGCATCGGCATGACTGATGGGCTGAAGGACTTTCTAGAGAGTGAATGGGTCCCATCTTGTTTGTTGCAGAGGAAATTGGAAGCAGAGCTTCTTCAGATCGAGGAACGCCACCTCGAGAAAAAGAGGAAATTTCTGGAAAACACAGCAACATTCAACAGCGAAATGAAAAGGGCAAGTGCACTTGTATATATTTTTTTACTTTAAAGATTATAAATATTTTGTTGCCAAAGCCATGTGCCTCCCACACGCGCGTAATCTGTTGCATTGTTGTCGGTGTTGTTTGCTCCTCAGCTGTGTGGCATGAAGGTGGAGGTGGATCTGGAGCGGATCCTGGCAGAGATGGAGGCCCTGCGGCGGCAGCAGAGAGAGGAGGCTGCAGCTAAGGCCGCAGCGGCTGCAGCAGCGACAGCTAAGGCTGCAGCGGCTGCAGCGAGCGCGGCACTTGCTGCCGTGGAAAAATCTGCAGCAAAGCCCGATGATGCGCCAGTAAGCTGTCAAATACCATCACCTTAATCATTGTGTACCATAGTCCAATTAATTAGCTCTCTAATCACCTAGTGTCATCCTCATCATTTAGATATGATGCCCATGATAGATGCTTTCCACCTTTCGCAATCTTCGGCGTTCGTCTTTGTCACAGAGTCCAGTCAAACTTCTCAAAGTTTTTTTGCTGTAAGCAATTTCTGACAAAGCTGAATTTCTGCACGTGCGTATGTGCACGTGTGTTTAGGCGGTCAACGGAGATACAACCGAAGCTGCCGCAGAAGAGGAGATGGAGACCGACGTGGGAGAGGGAGAGAAACTGCCTGCCCAACAGATGGAGAAGAGCCCCTCCTCCACAGGCTCTGCAACGGGGAAGGTGACTCCTCCCGAGTCCCCTAATGAGGCCGTGGCCGAAGTGGCGGTGGAGAGCGTCAAGGAGCAGCAGACAAGTGCGTACACTACATACCGGGGGGTGGAGCGGGGGCTGGGGTTGGTGGGTTAGATCCAGACCGTGGCGCCTGTATATTTAGAGTTTGCATGTTCTCCCCGTAGTCAAGTGCATTTCTCTCTGGGTCCTCCAGTTTTTCCCACTACATTTAGAAACACGCGTTATAAAGTTTTTGGCTGCTATAAATTTCCACGTGAATAGGCCACTTCGTTGAGCTATCATTTGTGGCCAGGTCGCTTCTAAGGAACTATATAGCTCAGTGGGCCTTACCTCGTAAAAAAAATAGTTAATAGTTAGAAATAGTAAGTTATGCATTCACTTTGCCCGAACCACATTTTGCGCTCTTTTTATTCTGTATGAGGGAAAAAAAAAACATGGTCGCACTTTCATTTTTTTTTGCATGTACTGCATAAGAAATAGTTTTGGTCAGGTACGAATCTACTTAAGGAGAGCAGTGGCGTGCAGTGGTTTGCTCAGCCTGCTATGTACCTGGCAAGTGCAGTTTCATTTGCAGCCCTTGCTAACACTGCTGACGAGTGACGTCTGAACTGGTTTTGCCGCCCCTTTCATCAACCCTCACTTTTCAGCAATATGATCAAACAATCTCCGACTGATAATGGGTTGGGAGTTATTTTAACAGTTTGTTTATTTCATCACTGAGTTATTTGATTACATCACAAAGATGTAATTGTTTTAGTATCAATTAAATTTGTCGTCCAAATCCATTTAATTACATGCCCATCATTTTATGTTGTGGTAATTACTTTTATGATTAAAGCACATTTATGTGCTCAATGGTGGAACAGAACAGCCCTTCCCATTGTTTTAGCCATGGACATAATGGTGGTGACAGGCCACTGGCAGGAAAAGTGGGAGGTTAGCTGAGCTGTTCTGGCTATTCTCACGCTGTCTTCTTGATCTCCTCCCACAGAGGCAACACCTTCACCGGAGGAGGAGAAGGAAGAGCAGAAGGAGGTGAGGGGAGGGAAAAAGAAAAGGGCCGATAAAACAAATTTAAAAAGGGTGGAAGGAAAGGAAACGAAAGGCGAAGCTGCCAACTCGGGGAGGAGGGGAGAGGCAACGGGAAGGGAGATACAAAATGGTAGCTCTAGCGGTGACGGAGACTCGGGATAACCTTGAATATGAGCAACACAATGCCACTGAAGAGATATCTTGTCTTTACCTGCATATGGCACCATTGAACTCACTCAGATGGCAGAACATACGTTTGTTTAAAAAGAATGAAACTTATAATTTCCATTTGGTTATTTTTGTTGTTGCCAATTTGTTTGACCAGTGCAACATTTTGCTCTGCTATATTGCATTGGAATGTGTCTGGTGTTTGTTGTGTGTTAACTTTCATAAGCTGTTTCCATTATCACTGAATATTCTGCTTTAGGCAGTGCGAGTTGATGGAAGTCTTTTCACCAGCGTAATACCACGTCTAGTTGAAGATGCAGAAATCGAAGCGAAACACGTGGAGAGATATTGTTCTGGAACCCTGGGTTATGTTGGGTGCATCAATGGACCAGCTGCAAAATAGTTTATTGTGGCTTTAGCTTAATTAATCAATAATAGATGTTTTGTATCTTGTAGAGTTTCAATTGTATAACTTTGTTTAGATATTTTATATTGTTCACGAGTACGATTGTTTTTTTCAGGTTTATAACTGCAAATAGATGAAGGTATTCTAAAAGCATTCAAGTTAGTTCTCAGGGGTTCTTCTCAGAAACAGGTTCAGGTAATGTTGATTATTTAAATCTAACGCCAACGTTATTTTTTGCAAGATGGTTTACTTTTAATATTTAAAAAAACTATTAAAATATTGACCAATATTCCATGTCTGGTGGGAGTTTTCATATTTGAAATGGTTCCATGATTTGCATTATAAAATGCATCAATTACACAAACAAATGAAAGGCTACATATTTTTAGTGGAGGATGGAAACACGTGAAGGGGGCTAGGGGAAGAGGAAGACCGTGCTGTTGTGACTGGACATCAAACACTGGACAAGATGGGAGCTATCGTGGTTAAGAGGCAGCAACGCACGGAGAGGAGTGGAGAAACTGCTGCAAGGAGATGTCAGTTAAGGCAACAATCGTGCCCCAACAGCCCAAATGGCCGAGGGACTAGGAGGACGTGATTACGTGTCAATATCGTCTGACAAACACGATTGTTGGGATGTATTTAAAAAGCCCAGAGGTAAAATGCACGTGAACATGATATGCAGCAAAACACCTGCCTCAAATGTCATGCACAAATGTACGCGAATGCTCGAACAAATTCTAAACTTGAAAGAATGATTTGTCAAAATCAGAAATTTTACTTTTATAAAAAAGAAAATTCCCTTATTGCAATGATTTGTGGCCAGGGCTGGCTCGGCCAGCGAGTTCATCCAGTTGTGTACTACCACATCAAATGTGTGCGTGACGGGAGCTGTCGGGCTGCCAAATCGTCAGTGGGTGTCTGCTCGCGGCCTTCGTCTCGCCGGTTTGGGGCTGCTGTTCTGCCTGAAGTCACTGCAGAGTTGTGGTTTTTACAACGCCATTTGTATTGGCTACGTTTTCAGAGGGCTGCAAGTATGGTACCGTATCTCCAGATTTCAAAACAAGCGATTGCGCAAGCTGACATTTAATGTACTCGCGTAGTTAATTGATATGTGCATTCGTAAAAGTTGGCAAGAAAGACTTGAAAATATATACGTTTACATTCTAGATTTGAAGCTTTCGTGACTGCAAGGATTCATATTCTTAGGTTTTTTTTGGTAAAGTCACGTAGGTAAAACATCAAAATTAATTAAAAAAAATGTATAAAAATAAAATAAAATATTTTATTTTTATTAATTTTGATGTTTTACCTACGTGACTTTACCGAAAAAAAACCCTAAGAATATACGTTTACATTTTATGCTGAAACGTAGGTTCCCTGTTACAGTATAATAAAACATGGAATACTGCAGGCTGTAAACAGCTGTGAAAGAATTACAGGAACGACCAACTGCATTTATGCTTTGACCGAATTCGAATGGAACTCCAGTACTGCAGTGATGAATCAGTTTGGGGTGTCATGCCTCCTAGTGGTATGACTAGAACGTTAATGCTGTACGGTCCTGCAACGTGTTGCCGTACAAAAGTACGCAGATACATTTAAATAGAATCACACTGAATTAGTATTGATGTGGTCAGGTTTTGCCAATCCTATCCCTGCACACAATGTGAAATTGCTTAGCGGCTGCCTCGGAGATGGGTAAAATCGGTGCCGATACCATGCTGCAAGATGCATTACCCCCTAGCCTACAGGCTGGCTGCTGGTTCGTTTGAGGTTTATTTTGTTTAACCAGGTGATAACTCAAGAGACCAGGATGAGATTCATTTGCAAGTGACCTGGATTTATGCTGGACTATATAATCTAAAGAGGGAAACATTTGAGCAGCATTGGGTGTTTTTTTTAAACTGAGTTTGATTGCGAAAAGCAGCACAACTAATGTGACTGAAGAAATCCATCCGTGATGCCAGCTGTGCCCGTGCATCAGGAACGTGGACACTGATAAAAAATCCGGAAGGTACACAAACAAGCATTTTAGGAACGGCTGTCAGCCGAGAGACGGAGGAAGACGTGGATCGGAGAACAATAGAGTCAGCTTAAATATACGCTGCCAAGCCTGGTGGCGTTTCATTCAGACTCTGTCTTTCCGATAGACCTGTTCTTCACCTGAGGACGGCTGCTTGCGTTGTGGCCAAAACGTCGTGAGAATTATTTTATTATGTTTTATTTGTATTATTGTATTATTTCCCTTCTACGTGACTTTACCGAAAGAACCAAGAAGATCAGGGGTTCTTCTCGGAAACAGGTCGGAGACTTGTGGGATTGGGCAGGACAGGGCGGAGAAGGAATGATGGCCGACGAACGGGACGAGTTGAGTGGCAGCCAAAGGGAAGGTGGCCAACCACCACGGGAGATGGCGCCATGAGATCAGCTCGTGTGCAGTTAGGAGACGGGCAGTGGCGTCGCAGGACCCTAAGGTATGGTGTCGGCTGGCCTTCATCTTTTAGTGGATAGACCATGGCTCATGGTAATGATGAGGAAGATGATAAGATGTGTGCATATTAGTAACCGTACCTAGTGCTTGGGACATGTGTATGTATGTATGTATGCTGAACTCCCTTCGCACGGTAAGTAGCCAACCGTGCTGATCGGAGGTGTGCGACGAATTGGATGACACGTCAATGAACACTGAACTCAGGGGTACGGTCCAGCCCTGGCTTAAGGAATACTGCAAAGGGTTTGTGAAGACACCTGCCTGTGCTCAGGCATACACACTGGAAGCACTGGTTATATGTGAATTGTAATTATTGCGGGTAGCAGAGTGTTTGCAAAGATAAGATATGAAATGTAAAATGACAAGCTGCCAATTGGGCGTTTTCCCTCTGAGTGAAACCACAAGGGGTTACTTGGTTGAGTCATGGTTTAGCACTTATGACAACTTGGATTTTATCCAAAAAGCTGATCATAGTATTTGGACACCTGGAAATACCTGTAAATATTGGGGTTTAACATAAAAGTCGTGATGTGATTTCATTTTCAGAATGTGAAAGCATCTACAGTCCTGCTCTGGGCGTCGTATGGGAAATGATAATTCCATGACTTCTCAGAAAACATTAAAGTTGTCATTTTAAAAAGCAGTAGCAATACAAATCAGCCATGTATTTAGTTATGTCTAAGGACATGCCTGCGTTTATCGATTGTAAATGCATACATCAACGATCGACTTTTTATATTAATAATTTTCATCTGTGCGCTACATTATTTAAAAACTTTGCTACTTAATACTGTATCTGAAATGCCACTTTATATTTTTTTAAATCTAAAAACCTGTTTGAGCACACATCACCAGGGAGCTAGAGTTATGGTGTGGTCAGTGGCTCACTGCACAGCTCCACACCTCCAGCAAAGGCCAACTGTCCCACAAGAGCAAATATTTACAATTGATCGGGTACATTAAAAAGGTAAAGATTGAGCCCTGCAATTGCTTGATTATGCCACTGCCGGCAGAAGGGCCTATGCTCGAGGGAGTACAAGAGAGCCCCTCCAGGAGGTATTTAGCCTATTATTTCAGACGTCTCAGACGAGTTGGGACTATCCACACTTTACTCCACCACGTGTAACCTTGTCAATGGACTAACTTTGACGTACCCGATTATACTGCTGGGTGGAGGGAGGCCAGTGGTATATTAGTAATTGGCCCATTCTTTCACTTGCCGTACCAGGAGACCAAACCGGCGACCTCTGGATTTCAAGTCCAGTGTGCATACCATGACTTGCGGATGCAATTATCAGAAATTGCTTTTTGAAAGACTCTTTCATACCAATGTTCCGAAGTACAAATTAAACTCGATGCTTCCCGTCTATTGTCTCGTGATGCTGGGGAGAAATACAACTATACTTCGGCATTATCAATGTGTCACTTATCCACTGGTGTCGGCCCCATGTTGAATTTAATTTGCACTGTACGTAGCCAACCGTGCTAACCGCCAAATGAACAAAATGTTTCCAAAGTCGTAATAAGGCACCTTGCCAATCAATTCACCCAAATCAAAATATAACTTTAGTGGGACGCTTCGAGCATATTAATTCAGACACCCATGGGTTTTAGTCGAACAGCTGCTGGAGGCCTCGTGTCACATAGATGTCTGTGGGAAACTGGCACGGGCGAGCCCAAACTCGAGGCTCATGCCTGCTCACGTTCTGGGATACTCCCTCAATATTGCTGCCTGCGGCTCTAGGGACCCAGAGGGGCCCATTATTCCACGTGCCACTAGATTTTCAAACCAGCGTGTGACTTAAAACATCAACTGGGCATGCTACTGAATGTCGTGAGTTTGTGTGTGCGTATGCAGTGTTGACAATGATCGTGCATGGTTTGCACCGACTGATGAGTTGTACCTACGGTTTGTTTTACATTGGTAACCAATTTTATAATGCATTATCATCATCATCACCATCGAAGAGCAATATGCTGCTGGATGAAGGCCTCCTCACGTGGTCGCCATCCCTCATAGTCATGCAGTGCCACAATCTATCTAGCTCCTGCGCACGAAACTGATCTCATCACTAATGCAGCAGTGGATGTCCTCTTGGGTGCATGCTCTCCTTTGGCTGCCACATCAATAAAAGTCTCATCCAGCAGCCATTATTTATTGGTATGATGTGCTCTGTCCCAGCAAAATGACATTTCTTAACAACAACATTACGACTCTGATTAGTCTTTTTTTCCCCTGATCATGTAACTTTTTCTGTCTTTTTATGGAATCCCAAGTAAAACAAAAAGTCCATTCAACAAATTTTCCAATAAAAATATAAGATTGGAGGAATACAAAATAATGCAAGAGACGAACAATAACGCCATTTGTGCTTTGGCAAAAACGAAATTCGATCACGAAAATCAGCAAAACATTGTGCCTGAGAAGGAAAGTTACCAGTCAGTGCACAATGACAGCTTTGCCACATGGATAAAAAATGTAGACATTGACAAAAAATGAAACAAAGGATGAAATGTGTACATAGAAGCATTGACAGATACGTGTGTGGAATTAAAATAGCAAGAACCACCCATTATTAGTCGAATACACAGATTCATTGAGTCAGGAGGCTGTTGCTTTGAGATGTGTTGACGTGTTTAAATGACTATTAGGCTGTGGCTTACACCAAGTGCTCTTGCAAATATGAGCTTGATAAAGTCGTAATTTCCATCATTGTACTTTTACATTGCCGATTTCGAATTCACCCAACATGCATTTGATCTCGTCAGATTTCAGAAGCTAAGCAGCTTTCGCC